CTCTGTAAAGAAACGAAGATTTAAACTGCGTGTATTAAAGTGATTTATTATTATAAATAAAATTCTTGACATCGTGATAGGAGGACTCGAGGCTAACAGATTGTTTATAGATTTTTAAGAAAGAGAGAAAGAGAGAAAGAGAGAGCTCGAGTGTGTGAAAAAGAGTGAAAGATATATGAAAGGTCGCGATATGTGAGAAATAATATAGACAAGTACATAATGAGTTATTTTCGATAGAAATCCATATTGGACAATATTTATAAGAGCACCGTGGAATGGGCATATAATATTAAAATTATAAATAAGATATTTCTTAATTATTATATTTCATATGCTTGGAATTTTTACTGATTAAAAGAATAAATGTTTCAAAAATAAGATTTACATAATTTGAAATTATAAAATATTTAAAAAATAGACAATGGAGAATCAAATATTATACAGAATAAACCGTTCGATCGAAAATTTTATTATTATAGAAGTTACAATTTAAAAGATAGAAATTTTTCAGATAAAAATTATTTATCTTTTTCTATATTAAATAAGTTATTTAAAATTCTTTTAATTTTCTTAAAATATATAACAATGAATGTACTAACGTTAAATACATCTTTAATTATTTCCAATCAGAAATTTTCCAAGTTAATAATGAAGTATACTTTTGGAAATATCGTGGATATGGACAAATATCGTTCGACAAAGAGCCATGAGAGAGATAGAGGAAATTATACGTATAGCCAATTATCGAGTCCTTTATCTTTACCTTCCTGTTCTTGTACCCGCTCCAATGTCCCTCCAATAATGTTCTTCGGCAGTCCACAACGAAGGAAATCAGTGCTTCGATATTGTAAAAATTATTTTCAATCGATTTTCGCTTGACAAATCGTGTGAATATTTATTAAAAAAGAAGAAAGAAAAAAGGAAAAAAAATCGAACGTTCACTAATGCATCGAAAATCAATTATCATGTATTGAATGAAAAAACTTTATAAAGATTAATTAGGAAATATCATTTAATGTAACTTCTTTTTCACGAAGAAAAAATATTTTAAAATGAATGGGATTCAGACAAAGAAAAACATCGAAGCATCAAAGGATACATCGCGATGATAAGGAATATGCTGAGCTTATTGAATATAATGCGAAAAAATTCACAAATATTATTGAAATCTATATTATTTAATTCAAAAATATCGCAGTGTCCTTAGCGTTTTAACTGCGTAATGGAAAATTGTGAATCATAAACGGAAGGGAAGAGATAGTAGGAGGGTACTAATAATAAGTGCCAAGTATAGAGGTTAAAAAAAAAAAGGAAAAACGAAAATTTTCGAAGATGGAGCTTTAATCCTTTGTTTTCCGTTTCGACGGTTCTTACTACCTCCATTCCAATATAGTATTGATCAATTAAGAGGATTAAAAAATTTGAATTAATTTCTGAATTATTAAATCTTTTTAATTCAGATTTAATGTATTTTATATCAATCGTATTAATTTTTCAATCAAATTACTAAGAAATTTTAAATTTAAATGTATTATTTGAAATGAAGAAATGAAGAATTAAAATCTTCATTAGACTGATTAGTTTTGATCTTGATAAATAATGATACAATATAGGAATTCAGTGAAAAGATAATACAAGTTTATATTTTGTAAATATAAAATATAGTATTTATCAAAAGAATCTTTTTATCAATTTTAAAATTTTTAAGAATACAAGATGAAAAAAAATTTAATTAATATCATTTAATTATAATATCATAAATATAGAATACAATTTTAATATTTTTATTCGATTAAATAACTATGTATATAATTCAATGTTTTTAATCTATATTTTAAACATTTAAAAGTATATTTATTCATACATTTTTCTATTCACTTCTTTCAAATTAATATATTAATATAATTATTTGTATTATCTTCTTTGATCTCCTAATATTTATATAATATATAAATATTTAATAAATACAGTTATATAAAATTAATAATATTGAATCATTAAATAAACAATTAATTGGCTTCAAAATATCGCCAAGTTTTTTAAAATTAATTCAATTAACAGGCCAATGATAGCACGTATAGAAATAATTTAAGCCTTTTTAAATAATTTGAATTTATCAAAGGATTGAAATTCCGATCTTAAGAAAATGGACGCGTTGTCTTTGTACAAATTAGGCAAAAAATGTTTCGGTTTGAAAATCGAATAAACGAGTAACGATATAATTTATTCGATGTTTAAACCAAAGATTAAGAAGGGGGAACAGACACAGAAGCTAGATGAATAAAATAAACGAGTTATATGTCTGTTGCCAATGATTAAAGAGATATTAGTGAAAAAGAGAGTGTAAGAAAGAGAATAAGATATGATTAAAAAAAAAAAGCGAATTAATGTAATGACATACGATTACTTTCCACGTGTAAATTTCGATGAAAATTGTATTTTCGAGCGGGGGTACCGTGTCGTA